GCCATCCATTTCCCTTCAAATGCCATGATTTCGTCATTTTTTAGTGAAGAGTAATACTCCATTGGGTATAAATGCCACATTTTTTAATCCATTCATCTATTGAAGGGCATCTAGGTTGGTTCCACAGTCTAGTTATTTTGAATTGTGCTGCTATGAACATCGATGTAGCAGTATCCCTGTAGTATGCTCTTTTAAGGTCTTCAGGGAATACTCTGAGAAAGAGAATAGCTGGGTAAAATGGTGGTTCCATTCCCAGGTTTCCAAGGAATCTCCATACTGCTTTCCAAATTGGCCGCACCAATTTGCAGTCCCACCAGCAATGTACAAGTGTATCCTTTTCCCCACATCCTCGCCAGCACTTGTTGTTGTTTGACTTCCTAATGGCTGCCAATCTTACTGGAGTGAGATGGTATCTTAGGGTGGTTTTGATTTGCATTTCTCTGACTGCTAGAGATGGTGAGCATTTTTTCATGTACTTGTTGATTGATTGTATGTCCTCCTGAGAAGTGTCTGTTCAGGTCTTTGGCCCATTTGTTGATTGGGTTATTTGTTATCTTATTGTTTAATTTTTTGAGTTCTTTGTATACTCTGGATATTAGGGCTCTATCTGAAGTGTGAGGAGTAAAAATTTGTTCCCATGATGTAGGCTCCCTATTTACCTCTCTTATTGTTTCTCTTGCTGAGAAAAAACTTTTTAGTTTGAGTAAGTCCCATTTGTTGATTCTGGTTATTAACTCTTGTGCTATGGGCGTCCTATTAGGGAATTTGGAGCCCGACCCCACAATATGTAGATCAGATCCAACGTTTTCTTCTGTCAGGCGCAGAGTCTCTGATTTGATATCAAGCTCTTTGATCCATTTTGAGTTAACTTTTGTGCATGGTGAGAGAAGGGGATTCAGTTTCATTTTGTTGCATATGGATTTCCAGTTTTCCCAGCACATTTGTTGAAGATGCTATCCTTCCTCCATTGCATGCTTTTAGCCCCTTTGTCAAATATGATAATTGTAATTTTTTGGATTGGTCTCTGTGTCCTCTATTCTGTACCATTGGTCCACCCGCATGTCTTGGTACCAGTACCATGCTGTTTTTGTTACTATTGCTCTGTAGTATAGTTTGAAGTCTGGTATCGCTATAACACCTGATTCACTCTTCCTGCTTAGAATTGCTTTTGCTATTCTGGGTCTTTTATTTTTCCATATGAATTTCATGATTGCTTTCTCTATTTCTACAAGAAATGCCGTTGGGATTCTGATTGGCATTGCATTAAACCTATAGAGAACTTTTGGTAATATCACCATTTTGATGATGTTAGTTCTGCCTTTCCATGAACAGGGTATATTTTTCCATCTTCTAAGATCTTCTTCTATTTCTCTCTTTAGGGTTCTGTAGTTTTCATTTATAAATCTTTCACCTCTTTTGTTAGGTTGATTCCCAAGTATTTTATTTTATTTTTTTTGAGGATATTGTGAATGGGTGGTTGTCCTCATTTCCATTTCAGAAGATTTGTCGCTGATATACAGGAATGCCTTTGATTTATGCATGTTGATTTTATATCCTGCCACTTTGCTGAATTCATTTATTAGCTCTAGTAGTTTCTTTGTAGACCTTTTTGGTTCTTCTAGGTATAGAATCATGTCATCCACAAATAGTGATAATTTAAGTTCTTCTTTTCCTATTTTTATGTCTTAATTTCTTTCGTCTGTCTAATTGCTCTGGCCAGTGTTTTGAGAATTATGTTGAATAGAAGTGGTGAGAGAGGGCATCCCTGTCTTGTTCCAGATTTCAGAGGGAATGCCTTCAATTTTTCTCCATTCAGAATGATGCTAGCCTGAGGCTTAGCATAGATAGCCTTACAATATTGAGGTATTTTCCTGTTATCCTTAGTTTTTCTAGTGTTTTGAACATAAAGGAATGCTGTACTTTGTCGAACGCTTTTTCTGCATCTATCAAGATGATCATATGGTTCTTATCTTTAAGTCTATTGATGTGGTGAATAACATTTATTGATTTCCGTATATTGAACCAGGCTTGCCTCCCAGGGATGAATCCTACTTGATCATGATGCACAATCTTTTTGATATGTTTCTGTATCCGATTTGCCATATTTTATTGAGGATTTTTGCATCTATGTTCATTAGAGATATTGGTCTGTAGTTTTCTTTCTTTGAAATGTCTTTGTCTGGTTTAGGAATCACGGTGATGTTGGCCTCGTAGAATGAATTTGGAAGTTCTCCCTCTTTTTCTATTTCCTGAAATAGCTTGAAAAGTATTGGTATTAGTTCTTCTTTAAAGGTTTTGTAAAACTCTGCAGTATACCCATCCGGTCCAGAGCTTTTCTTAGTTGGTAGTCTTTTGATGGCTTCTTCTATTTCCTCAATTGATATTGGTCTGTTTAGGTTGTGTATATCCTCCTGACTCAATCTGGGCAGATCATATGACTTAAGAAATTTATCAATGCCTTCACTGTCATCTATTTTATTGGAGTATAAGTATTCAATATAATTTCTAATTATCTTCTGTATTTCTCTAGTGTCTGTTGTGATATTGCCTTTTTCATCCTGTATGCTAGTAATTTGAGTTCTCTCTCTTCTTCTCTTCATTAGCATGGCTAAGGGTCTGTCGATCTTATTTATTTTTTCAAAGAAACAACTTTTAGTTTTGTCAATTGTTTCTTTTGTTTCAATTTCATTGATTTCAGCTCTGATTTTAATTATTTCTTGCCTTCTACTACTTTTGCTGCTGTTTTGCTCTTCTTTTTCTAGGATTTTGAGATGAAGTGTGAGATCATTTATTTGTTGGTTTTTTATTTTTTTAAGGAATGAACTCCAAGCAATGAATTTTCCTCTTAGAATTGCTTTCATTGTGTCCCATAGATTCTGATATGTTGTGTCTGTGTTTTCATTTATCTCTAAGAATTTTTTAATTTCCTCCTTGATGTCTTCTGTAACCCATTGATCATTTAGTAACATATTGTTCATTCTTCAAGTGATGCAGGATTTTTCCTTCATTCTTTTATCGTTGATTTCCAGTTTCATTCCATTATGATCAGATAGGATGCATGGTATTATCTCTACTCCTTTATAATTTCTAAGAGTTGCCCTGTGACATAATATATGGTCTATTTTTTGAGAAGGATCCATGTGCTGCTGAGAAAAAAGTATAACTGCTTGATGTTGGGTGGTATATTCTATATATTTCAATTAAGACTAGGTTATTAATTGTATTATTGAGTTCTATAGTTTCTTTATTCAACTTTTGTTTGGAAGATCTGTCCAGTGGTGAGAGAGGTGTGTTGAAGTCTCCCATAATTATTGTATTGTGGTGTATTTGACTCTTGAACTTGAGAAGAGTTTGTTTGATGAACATAGCTGCACCATTGTTTGGGGCATATATATTTATGATTGTTATGTCTTGTTGGTGTATGCTTCCCTTGAGCAGTATGTAGTGTCCTTCTTTATCCCTTTTGCTTAACTTTGACTTGAAGTCTATTTTATTTGATATGAGTATGGACACTCCTGCTTGTTTCCAAGGTCCATATGAATGATATGATTTTCCCAACCTTTCACCTTCAGTCTATGTATGTCTTTTCCTATCAAATGCGTCTCCTGTAGGCAGCATATTGTTGGATCTTTTTTTTTTTTTGATCCATTCTACTAGCCTGTGTCTCTTGATTGGTGAGTTTAAGCCATTAACATTTAGGGTTACTATTGAGATATGGTTTGTACTTCCAGCCATATTTGTTTATTTATGTTACTTAACATGATTTGTTTTTCCTCTTTGATTATTTTTTCCCTTTACTGTACTACCTCCCACTGTTGGTTTTCATTGTTATTTCCATTTCCTCTTCCTGTAATGTTTTGCCAAGGATGTTTTGAAGAGCTGGTTTTCTAGCTGCAAATTCTTTTAACTTTTGTTTGTCATGGAAGGTTTTAATTTCATCTTCCATCCTGAGGCTTAATTTCGCTGGATACACAATTCTTGGTTGGAACCCATTTTCTTTCAGCGTTTGAAATATGTTGTTACAGGATCTTCTAGCTTTCAGAGTCTGTGTTGAAAGATCAGCTGTTATCCTGATTGGTTTACCCCTAAATGTAATCTGCTTCCTTTCTCTTGTGGCTTTTAAATTTCTCTCCTTATTCTGTATGTTGGGCATCTTCATTTTAATGTGTCTTGGTGTGGATCTCTTATGATTTTGCACATTTGGCGTCCTGTAGGCTTCTAGGATTTGGAATTCTGTTTCATTCTTCAAGTCTGGGAAGTTTTCTAGTATTATTTCATTGAACAGATTGCTCATTCCTTTGGTTTGGGCCATTATACCTTCCTATAACCCAATAACTCTTAAGTTTGGTGTCTTTATGTTATCCCATATTTCTTGGATGTTCTGCTCATGGTTTCTTAACAGTCTCGCTGAGCTATCTATGTTCTTTTCAGGTTGAAATACTTTGTCTTCATTGTCTGATATTCTATCTTCTAAGTGTTCTACTCTGCTGGTAGTATTCTCATTTGAGTTTTTAATTTTTACTGCTTTCTGCATTTCTAGGATTTCTGTTTGTTTGTTTTTTATAACCTCTATCTCCCTGTATAGTTGATCTTTTGCTTCTTGGATTTGTTTATGTAATTAATTGTCAAAGTGATTTTTCATTGTCTGATTTTGCTGTCTAATGTCTTCCTTGAGACTCCAGATCATCTGAAGCATGTATATCCTGAATTCTTTATCTGACATTCCATCTGCTGCAGATATTACCTCTTCTAAAGTTGAGTTGACCTGCATTGCTTGTAGTCCTTTTTTTCCTTGTCTTTTCATACTGCTCACCTTTCTTTCTGCTTTGTGAAGCTGTTGTGTTATTGATTTTCCCCCTATATATTTATATTGCTCTTGTATAGTTGCAAAGTCTCCCTTTTGTGGAGAAAGACAATATTAACAGTTCCCAATATCAATAGTACATCATCTGAGCACACGTTTTCCTTTTTTTAAGAGAGAGGTGAGAGAGAGACAGAGAGAATTTTTAATATTTATTTGTTAGTTTTTGGAAGACACAACATCTTTGTATGTGGTGCTGAGGATCGAACCCGGGCCGCACGCATGCCAGGCGAGCGTGCTACCACTTGAGCCACATCCCCAGCCCACGTTTTCCTTATTACTACATTTATAGCTAGACTCTATGTCTACAAATGTTGGTTTCAATTATCATTTACAAATATAGTCATTAGTTTCATGAAAGGCATACCGTTTCTGGTAGCTTGAAGAAACCTGAATTTCAGGTGTAGGATGTTATGTTTACGGGGAAAGGAGCGAGGGTATGGGGTTAATCTAACTCAGTAACTTTGGGAAGCTCTAATCAATAGATGGGTAATTTATGGAAGAATGTATAGATTCAAATTCCTATCTTTATTTATAAGATTACCCTACTTATAAATAGTAAAATTTAGGGGGTTGCAAGTGGGATAGAGGGAGTAAGAAGGAGAAAAACAAATAACAAGGAAAGAAAGAGAAAAAAGAGACTGGGAAAAAGAAAATAAGAGAAAAAAGAAAAGAAATAAAAAGGGGGGAGGGAGGTGGGGCATATGCAATTCCTCTATATTATATTATTCTGGTGATTCAGTTGTTAAAGACATTTTTCATGGACAATTCTTGGTTTCACATATGTTGAGGTTGTGAGGAACAGAGGGGGAAGGGTTGAGGAGACTAGATGAATGGATGAAAAGAGAGAGAGAAGAGAAAAAAAGAAAGAAAAAAAATGTCTCTCAGAACTCTGTTTTCTTTTCTTCCAGTAGGTTGCGTTGTCTATTCCTAGCTTGAGTCTCTGGGTTCAGGGTGGTCGTGGTAGTCAGTGTGAGAGGACATGAGCTTCCACCTGTGGCCTCTCTACTGTTATTCTCTGAGATGTAAACCAGGTGCCTGATCTACTGCAGAACCGAGCTGGTAGCCATGCCCACCTGTTGATGGGTTTTAAGGATTGGTGGGATTTTCCAAGATGAGTTCCATCAGTTTTTCTCATAAGGTGTTTGAAGAGGTGGGGGGTGTTGGGGAGACCTTATGTTTGTCCAAAGCTCGGTCAGGTGACTGCACGGGCAGGCGGCTGGGCCCCTCTTCCAGTTGGGGTGGTCTGTCTATGGTGCCCACAGGCAGCTGTGCCACCTCTCCAGGCTGCGTGGTCTGCCTACCGTGCAGATGGGAGGCTGGGCTCCTCCTCCACTTGGGGTGGTCTGTCTACTGCGCAGGTGGGCTGCTGGCCCCCTTCTCTGGGTCGTGTGGTCTGCCTACCTCGCAGGCGGTGGCTGGGCCCCTCCTCCAGTTGAAGTGGTCTGTCTACCATGCAGGCGGGCAGCTGTGGCCCCTCTCTGGGCCACATGGTCTGCCTACTGTGCAGCGGGAGGCTGGGCTCCTCCTCCAGTTGGGGTGATCTGTCTACCGCGCAGGTGGGCGGCTGTGACATGGACAGTTTTGAAGCCTGCTCAGGTGTTCCTCTCCATGAATTCTTCTGATTCAAGTGTTCCTCTCCGTGAATTCTTCTGATGTTTTCTGCATGATTAAATCAGGGTAGAAAAAGAAAAGAGAAAGACATTTAAAAATAAAATTAGGGTAGTAAGTTTTGGGAGCGAGACACAGGGGAAAGAGGTAATATCACAACATACTATTTGTTCAGCTAGGCTTATCACTACAGATTTTGACCTTGATCAATTGATCACTTGAGTTAGGTAGAGTTTCAGTCTCTTCCCTGTAAATGTACTGCCCAGTCTCCAGACTATATCCCTTGGAAGGAAACATTAAGCAGTGAGGGTTTATGTTCCCCTTCCTTAAAGATGAAATATCTACAGGAAATATTTGGAATTCTTCTGTAAAGGAGGTTTGTCTCCTCTCCTCCATTTATTTATTCATCTATTTACGTAATTTATTGACTTAATTCATTCATTTAATCATTTATTTATATTTCTCAGGACCCAGGGATATATTTTATGTTAAACCAGGATGCAAGAAAAGACCACTGACTCCAATTAAAATCAAATTAAAGCAAGCTTATTATTTCGACCGGCCAGGCTGCCTCTCCCACCCAAAACCGAGGGAACAAGACAGCCACCCCAGTTTTCCTGCAGCCCAGCTTTATAGCCCAGAAAGTTACACAAAGGGGGTTACAGATAACAAAACTCTGACAAGCATAACACAAATGGTAGTTTACATTTTTGCTGGCCCCGACATCAGAATTTATGAAGGTCATTAGAGCCTCAGAGAGGGTTGTTATCTGGCCAGGGAAGGCCACGATTTGTGAGGTGTCACTAAAGTTTTAGAGAGGGCTGCTATCTGGTCAGAGAGAGCCAGGCATGGGTGAGTTCAAGGCATGGGCAGGCATTCCAAGCAGGTTCAGAATTTGCAGTAATTTTTAATAAAGCCAAAGTTATCTTTTCATGGCTTTGTGGCGAGATGGCTCCCAATTTTAAGAAAAGATCAGGTTGGGTCTATCATTTACAATTGGGATTATTACACACTTTTGAGTTTTTAAATATTTTCTGGTACAGGGGACTCCACTAAAGGCCAGGAGCATGCTAGGCAGGTGCTTGGCCATTGAGTTACATTCCCAGCTCCCTCCCCTATTTTTTGTGACATGGTCTGTCTGACTTTAGATTTTCTTCTGTGTGTACCCCAGACCTGAAGTTTGGAGCTTCAGCTCCCCCACTCTCCTGTGACCTTGGGTCCTTCTGTGAGCAGGACTCGGACTCTGGGACACAGAAGAAGAATGTCATAGGAAAGGCATAAAGAACCCAAAGGTGAAGGCCAAAGGATGGGCCATGACTAATGGCTCTTGTCCTCTCTGGAAAAATAGGACTGTATTCAGTTCTTAGTAGATCTAATTTAACTGGTAATTACTATGTACACAATTGCTTTTCCAGTTGTGTCTTGGATATTATATACAATATAATATGTTGCCTGGTTAGAATTCATTACATAAATCCTGTATTTCATGGGATTGTTCTAATTAGTAGAACTGTGGAAAATTTTGAAAACCTTGACTAAAATTTTCTATATTTATTCTTATATTAAGTAAGAAGGGGACTGGTGCCATGGTGCATGCCTGTAATCCTAGTGCCTTGGGAGGCTGAGGTAGGAGGATCACATGTTCAAAGCCAACCTTAGCAAAAATAAGGCATTAAGCAACTCATCGAGACCCTGTCTCTAAATAAAATACAAAAAGGACTGGAGACGTGGCTCAGATTTCAATCCCTGGTATCCCACCACCACCCCCCCCAAAAAAAAATAAAAAGAAAGAAGAAAAAATACCAGAAAATTAATAATCTGAGTTTTGAAAAGCCAATCATGATTTATCACATTCAAATTAGCTTGTTGCTTGTCTAAATCAACATATTAGCTAGTACTTTGGTTTTAGGTTCACATATATACATTACATTTTTCTCTCTTTTTTTTTTGAGATTGGATCTCACTGTTGCCCAAGTGGCTATTAAACTCCTAGGTTCAAGTAATCTTCCTGCTTCAGCCTCTTGAGTATGTGGAATTATAGGTATGTCTGCCACACCTGGAAGGTTTATTCTGTCTCTCTTTCTTTCTTTTTTAAATTTTAAAATACTTTTATTAGTTACTGATGGGTCTTTATTTATTTATATGTGGTGGTGAGAATAGAACCCAGTGCCTCACACATGCTAGGCAAGCACTCTACCACTGAGCCACAACCCAGCCTTCTCTCTTTCTTTTTAATGGTACAGAGCATTGAGCCCAAGGATGGTTCAACACTGAGCTTCACCCCCAGTTCTTTTTCTTTTTTTATGTTGATACAGAGATTCACTAATTTACTGAGACTGGCCTGGAACTTGTCACCTTCCTGCCTTAGTCTCCTGAGTATCTGGGATTATAATCCTGCACCTCTGTGCCTGGCCAGATTTATTATCTTAAATCACCTTAAAGGAGGACTTTGACCTTCATAAGCATTTGTATAGCCACAGTCAATCATTAGAAATGGATTGGGTGATTTGCATTGGCTGATATGATGAAGTTTTATTTGTTTTTTTGTTACACTGATTACTTCTGAGAATGTATTGATTAAATCGAAAATATAAAATTTATTGAATTAGTTTTCCATCTGAAAAATCATATACACTCTGAAAAATATTTAAAAACTAGAGAAATAGAGAGTATTTTTAAAAATCATCCATAATTCCATTATTAAAAGGCAATCACTATTAAAAATATATTTTTTTTATTTGTTCTAATTAGTTACACATGAAAATAGAAAGCACTTTGACACATCATACATAAATGAATTTTTTGCCATATTTCTCAACAGTCTCCTGTTCACAAATAGTGTTTTGTTTATGTCATTGTAATTTATTAAAAAATGCATTGTCCACATTCTGTGTCCTTTAGTTTTAATGACTGAGTCATATTCCATAGAATGGATATACGTCATTAGCTAATTTTTCTTCCATTAATGTACGTTTTGTGACTATTGTTAATGTTTTGGACCTAACATTTTAAATCATTTTAAGATCATTTTCTTAAAGTCTTGGATATAGAGGTATTGGATCAAAGAATATAAACATTTTGGGGGTTCTTGGCACATAATGTTAGGTTGTAATATAAAATTTGGGTTAATCTAGTGACTTTTTCCCCCCTGTTATGATACTTCAGATAATAATGTGTAAAAACGGGAACAGAGACAATTTAATGAAGAAAATGGATTTCTTTTTATTAAAAATCTCATATCTTCAATGCTTTAGGTGCAGCAATACTGTTGGTTATTATATATATATATATATATATATATATATATATATATATATATATATATATATATATAACACATATGTTTATATGTGTTATGGCATTATGTCACTTGGAGGAAAATGGGTGGAACTGGAGGACATCATGTTAAGTTCAATAAGGCCTACTCAGAGTCAATATTGTGTATTTTCTCTCCTATATGGAACTAGAGAAAAACAAGGGAGGGTGGGAAGAGATGTCATGAAAATAGAAGGGAGATCAACAGAATACAGGAGTGGGTACTGTAGGAGGGAGAAGAGGAGATAAGAGGAGGTGACCAAATGATGCTCTGTGAAGGTATGAATATATCACAATGAATCCTACTATTATGTATAATTGTAAAGCATAAATAAAAATTTATAAATGGTAATTCAAGCTAGATTAGCCTCTGCATGTGCAGGTATTTTTGAGTGATGTGGTTTGTTGGGATATGTTTAGGAGCATGGGCTCTGGAGCCAGAATTCTGGCCTTAATCTCAGCTCTACCATTTAACATGGTGTGTCCAACACAGTCACCTTCAATACATATGTTTGCTCTGTAAAATGTTCATAGTAATAGTACTGATCTCCTAGCATTTTTGTTGGAACAAAATAAGATAAAATACATGGAGATTGCCTGGTATAAGGTACAGGAGTATTTGCAGGTTACCAGCCGAGCATCCCTAACCTAAAAATTCAATATCCAAACAATTGAGCACCCAGATGATATCACAAGTGGAAAATTCCACACCTAGCCTCATATGATGATCATGCTCACAACAGAGAAACACTTAAACTATTGTATAAAATTACCTTCAACTATATGTATAAGGTATGCAGGAAAATGAATAAATGCATTCTATAATGAACTTAGGTTCCCATCTCCAAGATATCTCATTGTTATTTTTGTTATTATTCTTTTTTTTCACTACTGCGTATTGGACCTAGGGAAGATTTTCCATGGAGCTCCATTCCCAGACCTTTCTATATTTATTTATTTGAGACAGTGTCTTGCTAAATTGCATAACCTGGCCTCAAACTTATATCCTGCATCCTTACCTTCTGGAGTCTCTGGGATAACAGACATGCACCACCATAACCAACTTAATTATATCAATATTCCAAAATCAATATTCCAAGATACCTGAAATCTGAAACATTTATAGTTCTAAGTATTTCAGATAAAAGATACTCGGCCTGTATTATTACAATATAATCATGAAAATATTTCCTCACTGGTGTGTTAAGCCAAGCAGTATTTTCATTTTGGTGGTGGATTGCAGATAGGAGGCCAGGACTTCTGAGTTGGCCATTTTTTCCTCCCTCCTGTCAGAATTATTCTACTAAGCCTGAGGGCTGATTTAGGATAGAGAAACTGTTCCTGAATCTGCAGGTCAAGGTCATCCAGGTTCTTGGAGCAAAGGTAATTGTTGGGAGTCGCCCTGGCTCCAAAGACTAACTTCCCCATCCCCCAAGAAGAGCCTTCCAATGGTGAGCCCTGCTGGCTCACATGATCCTGCCATTCAATGGTGAGCCCTGCTGGCTCACCTGATCCTTACCCACCAATCAGACTAGCCCTGCTGGCTCACCTGATCCTACCCACCAATCAGACTAGCTCTGCTGGCTCACCTGATCCTACCCACCAATCAGACTAGCCCTGCTGGCTCACCTGATCCTACCCACCAATCAGAAAGCACCCCATGCCAACTGTCAAACCACACTGGGCTCTATAAATATGCAGAGCTGTTCCTCAATAAATGGGCATTTGCTCTGACGACAAACCTTCATTGTTTCATTGGTGCCGAAACCTGGAAGGGGGAATGCCGCGCTGCTCGAGGGCCCCCTCTCTCAAGGCTTGCCGTCCTGGTCCACTCTTTCGAGCACTGTTTACAAAACCAGATCTTCAGTAGGTGAGTTGCCCTATCGGGTATCCAACTTCAGATGGGCTACACAGGGGCTTTGACCGTGATCGTCTGGCAAACCTCTGACGCCCAATCTGGAGGAGAGAACGCACCCCACCACGACCTTCATGGTCACGGTGGACTCTCTGGAGCCTGGTTCATGAGCAGGAGGTACTGAGTGGTAGAAGAACAGGCACTCCTCTCTCTCTCTCTCTCTCTCTCTCTCTCAACCACCCTTGTCCCTCTCCTGACCTATGGGGGCCTCTTCTTCCCTCCCTGCAGACTCCCCCTTATTAAATTCTGCACACAAGATTGGCCTTACTATCAATTAGACAATCAAAGTCAATGGCCCCCAGGAGGATCCCTAGATCCTGCAGTTCTCAGAGATCTGTTTAACTCCTGGGAGCACTTGAAAAAGTGGAAGGAGTTCCCCTATGTTGAGGCTTTTTCTCTTCTTTGTTCTCACCCTGACCTATCCGGGAGATGAACCCCCTCATTACTGACCTCCTCTGTCGGCTCTGTCCAGCCCCTCAGGTGCTCCCCTTGACTCAGCCAACACCTTTAGTTCCCCCCAGACTAGGTCCTTCCCCTAGTCCCACAAATCATGGCCCCTTTTAGGGAGGTTGCTGGACCTGAGGGCATTATCCGGGTACATGTCCCATTCTCTATGAATGACCTCACGCAACTTGAGCGAAGTTTGGGCTCATTCACCATAGAAGAGAGTTTCAATGGGTCCTCCAGGCTTATAGCCTCACTTATATGTTATTGGCTAATACTCTCTTTCTTGAGGAACATACCAGAGTCTGGGAACTTGCCAGAGCCCATGTGGATGAAACTCACCGAGTTAATCCCAATCACCCTCTGGGGCCACTTGCTGCCCCAGATCAAACTCCCGACTGGGATTATACACAAGCTGGCATACAGAGTAGGGACCAATTCTCCACATGTATTATTGCTGGGCTCAAAAAAACAGCATGTAAAGCCATCAATTTCCAAAAATTGCAAGAGACCCCATCAGAATTTCTGGATCGTCTTAGAAAGCCCTTCAGCAGTAACCTAGATCCCGAAACCCCAGATGGCTGTCATTCCTTATGACATATTTCCTCTCGCAGAGCTACCCTGACATCTGGGCCAAACTAGAAAAGCTCGAATAAGGCCCTGCCACCCCCCAGACTGAGCTCTTGGTGGTAGCCTTTAAGGTTTTTATCTCGCCCAGGCCCTGCAGGGTGCTTCCTTGGGTCGCCACCCATCACCAAACCCCCCCCCCCCCCGGGTGCCTGCTTCAAGTATGGCAAGGAGGGACATTGGGCCAGGGCATGCCCTGCACCATGCACTCCATGTACCCCATGCCCTAAATGTCAACAACAAGGTCATTGGGGCTCTGACTGTCCTAGATCCTGTAGGAGGCCTATGGCCAGGGAACCCTCTGACCTTCTGGGCATGGCAATCAATTGATGGAGCCTTGGGTCCTTGTCCCTGGCTATAATGATCAATAGACAGGAACTCAGGGTGTGGATTCAGGTGGATGGACGCAAGGTTGACTTTCTCCTTGACACCAGAGCTACCTTCTCAGTCCTGACAGAATTCTGGGGGCAAACAGTGCCGTCTACCTCTCCTATTGTCAGGGTAGGAGGAAAGACCATCTATCCAAGAAAGACTCCCCTATTACTGTGTTCCATAGACAACTTCCCATTCTCTCAGACATTCCTAGTTATGCCCCAATGTGCAGTTCCTTTGCTTGGCTGAGATATTCTCTCTAAATTCAATACAACAATCAACATCTGGGCTCCTGGCATCAGTCAGGCCCCAGAATCGGCCTGTTCATCTTTTCTGGCCCTTTTGGCAGAAGACTGGCCATTCTTGTGAGGCTGACATGAAACACTATACTAACCTGGTTGACCTGATTGTAAAGGGATACCCACACCTCCTCCACCATCCTGCCCACCAGTTAATATTCATCTCAAAGATCCTAACATCTTCCCAACAGGCTCAATACCCCCTGTCCACCAAAGCTCTTCTGGACCTACAACCTATTATTCAGGATCTTCTTAGCAAGGGGTACCTCTGTCCTGCTCATTCCCCTTACAATACTCCCATACTAGCGGTAAAGAAGCCCAACGGGTCCTACCTACGACTCATCAACACCTCCGTTAGGCCCATACATCCTTTGGTTCCCAACCCATAAACCCTGCTGTCTCAGATCCCCCACACTGCCACCCACTTCTTGGTCATAGATTTAAAGGATATCTTTTTGCCTTTAACCTGGACTGTCCTTCCTCAGGGATTTCAAGATAGTCCACATCTCTTTGGACAAACCTTGGCCTCCGACCTCCAATCTTTTCACCCCCAGTGCCCTGAATCCACCCTCTTTGCAATATTATCATCCAGCAAATCTCTTTGCCCACCTGCGGGGAGGAAAGCACCCCACCACAGCCCTCAGGGACTCCTTCCTTGGGCAGATTCAAAAGTCCTAGTCTTCTCACCTTTAAGACTCGGCTGCTAGAGAGACACTTACCCACCCCTTCCTCTCCCCTCTTTCCAGCCCTGGGAGTATCCAGCCTCTCCAGGAGGGGTCCCAAAAAGCCTTGGCCAAGGTCTCCCATGGCTCTGGTTCCATCCAGGATGAGAGCTTCGACTGTCAGGAATTGGTGATGACCAATCTCTGCAGCTCGAACCTGCCACTTAGGCACTCCTGATTTTTTGGCTCTAGCGGGGATGCCCCTTTTGCCAATAAATCAGTTTTCTCCTTCTCTGTGTCCTCTTCCCTCCTCCTTACATGGGTAATGTTTCCTCTCTGCCGGTCAACTCTCCCCTACAATGCCTCTTGGATCAAATATAGCACCCAGGCCTGGCCCACTTATCCCTTAGACAACCAAAGCAGATGGCCCCTTTTTGGGTCCCTGGATACCTCCATTCTAAGGGATCTCTTCCAGGCTTTCTTCTTGCTCCGATCCAATCCTGCTCTCTGCACCCCTTGCAAACCTCTACAAATTCTTCTAGCCCATCCAAAGGGCACTCAACAGATGACGCAGTTCTCCTACTTAATTTCTTTGCCTTAAAGGGATATTGAGCCTCTCCACAAAAGGCTCAAATAGCATGTATCTAGGGTTCTCTATCTCTCGAGGGAAAAAGGCCATTTCAGTAGACAGAAAACAGCTTATTGTGTCTATATCTACACCAAAGACCAAAGATGACTCTCCTTCTTGGGTTTGGCTGGGTACTTCAGGGCCTGGATTACTTTTGAATTTCTCCCTCCTTGCCAGGCCATTATATAATCTAGCCAAGAGCCCCCAAGATAACCCCTACCCTCAGCGGTAGGGAAGCCCTTTACAAAAAGACCCTCCTCTGGGCACCTGCCCTGCATCTCCCCAACCTCTCCCAACCCTTCACCCTCTATGTACATGAAAAACAGGGACAAAGTCTGGGCGTTCTGGGTCAGGAATATGGCCCCACATTTGCACTAGTGGCCTACCTATCCAAACAGCTTGACCCCCATGCCTCAGAGCCCTAGCAGCAGCCCATGACCTCCAGAAAGAAGCACACCAGCTTACCTTTGGCTCCCCACTCACTCCCTCCTCCCATCTTCTCCCTCACAAGATCCCATCCACAAATACCTGGAGGTATTAGAGATGATTTTACCCTTCCCTACCACGATTTCTGAGGGACCCTGCCCTCTTCAGACCTCGTCTGCTTCTCAGATGGTAGCTCCTTTATACACAAAGGGGTTAAAGTGGTGGGGTATGCTGTCGTTTCCCTCTCATCCATCATAGAGGCAAAACCTCTCCCACCCAATACCACCAACCAACAAGCTAAACTCACAGCTGCCACAAGGGCATGTGAGCTAGTGGAGGGAAAAACCTTCTCCCTATATACAGATTCCAAATACGTCTTCCATACCCTGATCCCCCACGCAGCCATTCGGAAAGAAAGGGGGCTACTACCAGAGGGACGGCAGTCATTAATTCCACACTTATTTCTGGCCTACTATGAGCCTCCAGGCTGCCTTCCCAACTGGGAATAATCCATTGCAAGGTCCACTAAACCGATTCCTCCCTTACTACTATGGGGAATTCCAAGGCCCATCAAGCGGCTCTATCAGCCGCCCTTCAGAGCTTTACCTCCTCTCTGCTACTCTTCGTTACCACCAGGGATCGGTCCAAAGATCCCCAACAACTCTTCCAGTTTCTTCACTCTCTATTCCATTCTAGTCCACAGAGTCTCATTAACTTTCCTTCACTCCTTTTTCACCCTTTCCCCATGTGATAAGACCCTCCTACAACAGATCACTTCCACTTGTCAGATCTGCCAGAGAACCAATACCAATACTCCATTAAAACCTAAACCTTTCCCTTCTCATCAGGCCCGCGGTCATACCCCAGTTGCAGACTGGCAGATTGATTTCACCAGCATGCCCTGAGTAAAAAACAAGCCTTTCCCACTTCTAACAAGCAGGCCTCCATGGTAGTTGACTCACATAATCCCCCGTTTTGGGATGCCCACTTCTATCCAATTAGACAATGGCTCAGAATTCACCTCGCAGGTATCTCAGGGACTAGCTCATATGCTATCACTCCCTTGGCATTTCCATTGCCCTTACCACCCCCAGGCTTCTGGAAAGGTTGAAAGGACCAATCGGTCCCTTAAAGAGACCCTCACTAAGCTCACCATGGAATTAAGCCTGGACTGGGTAAAGGTTCTCCCCTTGGCTTTATTGCGCATTAGGGCCCTGCCAAAAAAGCCTTCTAATCTCTCACCTTTCAAAGTCATGTATGGCCATCCCCTCGTTGCTTCTGGACTGCCTACAGAACCCCTACCCATCTCCAAAACCTATGCCCTGCCCCTCCTCTTCCATCTACGCTCTGAACTCTGGCGCTATCAAGACTGGCTCCTTCCTGACCCCAGTCTCTTTCAAAACCCTACCTCCTTAACACCTGGTCAACTTGTTTACTATTGCCCACTGGGGGAAAAGCCCCCTCTAAAACCAAAATGGAAGGGCCCTGCTCAGGTGATTATGTGCACACCCTCAGCAGCCAAACTCAAACTACCTAATAACCAACTTACCCCATGGATTCACATTTCCAGGCTTAAGCCCGGCACTCCTACACCTTCATCAGAAGAGCCAAGGATCCTCACCAGTCATTAAGTACTCTTGTCAATGCTCCCCCTCATTTCTGGCCCCTCTTGGGTCCTCTCTTCGCCCTATGTCTGAAGACTCAAGGCAAGTGACCTAAGGGCCCCCTCCAGCCAGACTCCCCCCCACTTGCTTGGATCTGGCTGGTAGTGGGACCGTTGTGTGTTGTCCTTCTGACAAACCACTTAGGTGTCCAGAGCATGGTGACCCCTGAATAAGTGTGATCATAAGAGAGCACTTTACCAGTTGCCTTCTGGGCCTATGGAGAAACATGTGTGTTTTGTTTACCCTCCCAGTTTCATTGAGGTGTAACTGATGTGCAGGACCCTGCACATAGTTGGCGCGTACAGTTTGGGCATGTGCACACGCTGGTGTTCCCATCACCACCCTCCAACAGCGTTCCCATGCTTGGGTTCCTGGTGAAGTTGTTTCTTCCTGTTGCTTACATCTACCCCTACCTGAGTTACCTTCAGTGAGTCCATGACTGTCCTGGGAGGCAACCTGAGCTCTCCTTGGGTGAGGTGTTGGGTGTGCTCTTGTCCAGCCCACCTGCTCTCACTCTGTCTTCCCTAGTCTGAAGTGCTCTCTCCATCCTTCCTTTCCTCAACTTGTCCATCCTGTGTGGAGGTCGCCCTATTATGGTGATCCACATGCCCTGCTTCTGAAAAACCAAGATGCTTCTTTGGGTCCTGCCCGTTTGCCAATAGAAAAGTGAGAAGCTCTGGTGTCATGAACTAGTTACAGGCTTTGAAAGAGTTTCTTCTTTTCCCATGTGTATGTGTGTGTATGTGTATCAGTAATAATATTGTTTGTGAATTTAATTTTCTAGGGTTGAATTCGAAAAAAAAGATCTGCAGAGAGGAGTTGAAAACAGCAGGACTAATGGTCATGAGAGATGTGTCCATTGCAAAATCAGAATACATTCCAAGTGAGAAAATTATCTTGAAGGTCCACAATTTCCAAGAAATAAGGAGCTCTTCAGATACTGCGCTCTCCCAGAGGTTAGAGACTGCTCTTGTTTTGGTTTCTCCTTCATAGCCAGGCTTCAGGTCTTCCCCAAGATCTGCTGGTTGTCCTGGCTTTAACCCCTTTCTACACATGGTGCGTCTCAGCTGGAGGTGATTTTTCCCCTCAGTGGATATTGGCAATGTCTCAAGACTTTCTTGGTGGTGGCAACAGCAGGGTTGGTGTGCTAGAGGCTTCTAGTAACTAAAGGCCAAGGATGTGGTAATGGGGTCCAAATCCTATAATGCCCTCTCTCCAAAGAATGATCTCACCCAAGATGCCAATAGCACCAAGACTAAGAAACACTGCTATGGAGTGTGCTAATTATCTTTTTATAAGGAAGACAGGAATTCTGTGTTAAAGAGAAAGAGCCCTTCTAAGACTGAATATCATCAGAGGTGAAATTGTGAGGCTGTTATTTGTAAATCCATTGAATTTTTTTCATTTGTTTCTGATCACTGGAAGTATGAATTTTCTTTTACATTTAAATTAGTTTTGATTTAATCTTTTTGACATACTAAGGATTGAACTTTGGAGCCCTTTATCACTGAACTACACTCTCAACCCTTTTTATTCTTTGTTTTAAGAAAATTGAGGCTGGCCTTGAATTTATGATTTTCCTGCCTCAGCCTTTATTTTATCACACAAAGATTTTCTTACCCAGAAACACTTCTTTTTCTTCGACTAAATATAGTTTTTATACCTGTAACTCCTAATTTCCCTTTCCCATCTGTTAACACCTTTTTCTGTTCACATTCTGAAATGATCCTTGTAAATTTCTGAATTTAGGCAAATTACTCCATTTTAATGAGAATAAATACTTTATGTTGTTTATAGTACTCTAATCAAAAATTAAACTATTATATAAAATTACATTCAACTATATGTATAAGTCATGGTCACAACACAGTCACTAATCAAAACACAGTTGAAACTTTTGGGTCCCTTTGTATACAGAATCACATCTGTTTTATCATTTTATAAAAACATAAACAATGTTTAAGTATATCGAATTATACCTGTTGGGACTTTAAAATCTTAGTAACCTTATTTTTGAGGATGACAAAGCAATTTTAAAATCTTTTTTTTAATTTACCAATTTATGAAAACACCAACAATGTTACCCAATGGAATTCAAGGAGTTAAGGGTACTTGATATTGTATTTAACAGTTAGAATTTTAACTTGGAAAGTTAACCATATGTCTGACAAGCACATTTATGAGTAATCCCAAGTCAAATCTAATTTATTTATTTTTACTGTGAAAACCATGGTATCTGACAGTGTTTTGAACAATATTAGCTATCTCTCCCTTTTGAAGAAAAGTCTAGAAATTATGAATATTAGACTTTTTGTAGACATCAGTATTTTATTAGTGTTTTTTTGACCACCTAGAGAGACTTGTGAGTTAAGTAATTTTAAAGACATCTTTACTTTAAATTGAGCCATCTTAAATCATGTGAATTAAAGGTAATTGGATCTACTTTTTTTTAAATTTATGAGCACTCATTATATGCCAATTTTGCTATCATGTATATGATATATGGATGCATGTATACATAGACAACACAATACACAGCATGCACACACAAAAGTAAAGGCTTTGTAGCTTTTCACAGGTGAATCTCCATTGCAATGTTATAGATGTTTAAAAACTCTGTAGTTGAATAAAAAATAGGACTGAGAAGAAAAACACTAACCTGGGTGTGTAGGATGAAAATCATGAATTCAAAAAATATGGAATTTAAGGGAAAAAAAACAAAGAGTCCTAGAAAAAAATAAGTGGCCAGTAACTAGTAAAGTACCATACAATTTATTTTTTGGTTCAGGCTAGTGTGAGTTCAGGTAAAAGACACTTTTTTCCTAGGATCTTAATCTGGTCTCCTACTGAGTCTGCCCTGGCTGAGATCTGGAAGGAGCTGAGGAAAACTGCCCTTCTGAGCAGAAATCTCATGCAGAAGGGTATTAACCATTTTTTTCCTAGTTGGTAATTGGACAGGTTTGGATGTAGAAAATTATGATACCTATTTTCTATTATTTTTTTTTTTTTGAGAAAAAAGCTACTATATTAAGCTCCTTACTGAGATAAGCTTCTGACTGTTGAGCAAGTCTGTTCTTTTGTGTGACCATTCCTAGGGCTATTCCTCCTCTCTCTGTGACAAACAGGTTAAATCTTTCTCCATAGGTAAGCTGAGGAGAGGGACTCAAAATAAGGCCATGTTTTAATGTCTTAAAGGTTTTGAAAGCCTGCTCATAACTCAGAGGGGAGTAAACTTTTTGGTAACAGGCTGTTCAAACATCCCAAAGAGGTCTAGGGTAAGAGGTGAGAACAGAGGAGCTGGCACTAGTATCCAAGAGGAAATTGACCTCTTGGCTCCCTACATAGAAGCAGGAAAGCATACCTGGGACTCACAGGTGGTGATTGGAGTTACAGAAGTCATCAGAATTGGCTTAGGGCTCTGTCAGGTCTGTGTGGAGGAATTTGGCCTTTTCTTTTCCCATCTGGGAAGTTTTCTGCTCACAGTGAGGGACAGGATGCATGGGAGAGTGTAGTTCCAGGGCTTGGGAGTAGATTGTTCTCTGAGATGCTGTTGAGATTCACAGTAGCGGCAGTGGAAGATCTGCTTAGCTTAGCTGGGGTCACATAGGCACCTGGTCCAGGAAGGAAGGGCACTGGATCAAAGCCACAATGTTGAGCAGTAGGACAATGATCATTCCCCCAAAAGATACTCTTAGGATTAAGAATGGGACACTTCTGCCCAGATGCATAAAGGGTCATCAACTGTAGTCACTTCTCACTTGAGTTTCTTTAATAAGGACATAACCCGTTTTTTAGAGTTATGACTACCTTTGGAAATAGTTATCAACAAACAAACGTTGAACTTACTATTCTCTTTTATTCTGAACATGACATAGTCCTTTGAACACAGAAAAAATGAGCATGTTCTCCACTCTGTTTTGGGAGAGTAATAAACCTCTCTAAGACACCCTGAGTAATATAAGAATGATGTGAACAAAATCCTAGGTGAGGAGAATGTCAGGCTGGGGAAATGATGTTATAGATTCAGGCTGGAAATGACTATGAGAAAGGTGTTTGCATACATTTGCCACAATAGGTAAAGCTGCTCTAGATTGTTTACAATTCAATGATGAAGAGTAGGCAACATTCAAAATTTTTCATTTGGTCAAAAATATCAATGATTTAAATATGAACATGAGATTTTATTTTTTTATGATGCTGGGTTCAAACCCAGGGCCCTATACTTGCGAGGCAAGCTCTCCACCACTAAGCTATAACCTTAGCACTTGTAAAAATCTTAAATTGAGACAGGGTCTGGCTGTGTTTGCTTAGGTTTTCCAGAACTCTTGAAGTCTCAGCCTCTGCCTCCCAAGCAGCTGGGATCACAGGTGTACACTATTGTAGCCATTGCACAGGAAATTAAAAAAAAAAAACAAACAGATATATGACAGACTTATGTATTTTATTTTAATTTAGGTAAGTCTCTTTCTTTCAAGAAGTCAGAGAACCTTGCTTTCTCTGCTGAATGATAAAGTGTTCATTTTAATGCTTCCTCCAGTGTAGACTCTGCCTGTCTTATGTGTTTCAGGGTGGAGTTAATGCCATGTACCATGTGATTTAGGGCTATGATCAAGACCATGGCCGAGTGTACCTTGTGATGGAGAAGGGAGACACCGTTTTCTATCACCCTTTGCTCATCCATGGATCTGGTCAGAATGAATCTCAAGGATTCTGGAAAATATGCATCTAGTTTTTAAAGATGAGTGGGTTCAAAACAGAAAATCATAGGTATAGTAACATGTAAAGATTTATGACTTTTCACTAAACTGGATTGTTTTTTCCAGTTTACTTGCCAGAAAGTATATTTGCCTTCGTTGTGCTTTTTTTTTGCTCTACTCAGTGCGAAGCCGGGTGCCCTCAGGATCCTTAACCTGTTAATCATGAATCTTGATCATTTGTGGAATTGCTTCAGAGCAGTAGGTCACCTTGCAGTGCACAGCTTCTGCTTTCTGAGGCATAAACAGTTGCTGAAATATTAAAATAGCACGTTAACTTTGCTATTTTTCCACATTCTCAATGACTATAATGTTATGGAAGATTATTTACAATTATTTCATAACAACATGGATCATAAGTGCACATTTTTTCTTTTTATTTGAACCTTCATATGGCTCTGCCTGGCACTGGAGCCTGTGCAGGAAATGGAGTTTAAATTTGGGGCAAATAGAAAGTCCTTCTGACAGGTGTGATCACCTTAAGATAACTAACTTATGATAAAGAAGGTGGGTTTTAGGTATTATTTTTCAGCTTACATTTGTTTAGACCTTATTCTGGAACAGGGAGAACTAAGTCACCTCAGCCTTATCCTCAGCAGGAAACAAGCTGGGTAATAATGTCAATGTATTGACCTTTAAATGTCCCTCTTTATTGCAGGTGTGGTATTTTTCTTTTGAAGGTAATTTCAGTTTTCATATCTATTGCCATTGCAATAATGTCTATTGCCATTGCAATAATAACCTTTCCCAAATTTAACAGGGTAACCAACCTTTATGACTAAGAAGGTGACGAACCATAGGATTGTACATTTCTTTTAAACTTTAAAATATACACTCATTGGAAAAACTTAAATGCTTAAAACTGTGAAGATCTGTTACTTAAGTGATTATGCCCCCTGTCCTATATATACCTTAAAAAAGTAAATATCACAGCTAGTTAATTTTTTTTTTTTGTAATTTCTTAATTAACATTTATCTGGGGAGCTGGAGGGAGAGGATGACCTACAAAGGGACAGATTTGGGATGCCATGGAGGGGCCTGGCAGTTTATAAATCAAATCCTGGTTGGGCACAGGATTGCATGCCTGTAATCCCAGTGCCTAGGAGGCTGAGGCAGGAGGATCACAAGTTCAAAGGCAGCCTCAGCAATGGTGAGGCACTAAGCAACTCAGTGAGACCCTGTCTCTAAATAAAATACAAAATAGAGCTGGGTATGTGGCTCCATGTTCGAGTGTCCCTGAGTTCAATCCTTGGTATCCCTCCCAAAAGAAGTCAAATCTTGATTGTAAAAGTTGACACTCTGAAGGGAGAACACCTTGCTTGGTTGTTGGCATTAATGGGACGCTTTTCTCCATTATCAATTGTTCACTCTGCACAAGCAATTTCCTGCCATTTTGCCAGCTATGATTGCCACTACATCCATGTGAAGGGCACCAGTCAAGAAAACATTAAAGAAGAAATTATAGAACAAATTAATCAATTCTACAGTGTGGAAATCAGCATAGACTAGTAGGTACACTTGCATGAAATAACCAAGTAGAGATGACTGAGGTTTCTTGTCTTCACATGTTTAATTAATCCCTAATTTAATTTGAAATGAAAGACTGGGGGAATTCTGAATACAAAGGAGCAAACATATAGATTTGGGACTTCGATGAAGGATCACTAGTGCTTATGGATGAGGGGCATTACACAGTGTTTCATGTGCTTTCTAATTGATACACATCACTTGGAAAGTATTTGTTTTTTCGTAGTGGATCAATGATGCTGATGAGTAATAGACAAATTATCAATCGGGGCAATTTAATAAACATCTTTACTTTTTATAAAACACACATTTTAGGCCCTGAATCAAGAAACTCTTCCTATTTATTTTATTGGTATGAGATAATGATAATGCAGGCATGCCCCTTCCTGCAAGAGACTGAGAGTGATGATGACTCTGGGTCATCCAGGATGTTGTAAGGGATGCCACATAGCCACTGGGAACCTTCAAAATAGCTTTCCAGAGTGGAGAATCTTGCTTCTCCCTTTAGAACCTACAAATGCGTCCCCTGTCTGAAAATGCTCCATGTTTGTGGATTCAACCAACTGAAATATTGGAAAATATTTAAATATTTTAATATTTCAAAAAATTATATCTGTACAGAACATGTACAGGCATTTTTTTCTTATTATTATTTCCTAAATAATACAGCTTAACAATTACATAGCATTTATATTGTACCAGGTACTATAAGTAATTTAGAGGTGATTTGAAGCATCTGGGAGGAGGTACAGAGGTTATTTTATTAAAGGGACTTGAGTATTCATGGACTTTGGTATCTAATGGGGGATCTTCAACTGTACATTAGTTTGTGAGGTTGTGCTGAATAAACACATTCCATATTTATTTTAATTACTCTGTAAGTTAGAATTTATGGGCACATTTAGAATAACAATAGAATAATCAATAACAATAGAATAATCAAATAACAATGCCAAACTATATAATTCTAAGGTATAAAACAATTCCATTTCCCCTTTCTCATTTTTTTTCACCAGAACCCAGTAGAATAGTCTGTATAGCCCCTGCTATAAAGGAGGAATTAGAGTCCCAGAGATTGGTCTAAGTTACAGAGCTACATTTCAGAGTCAAGCCTATTCAGAAATCATTCTTTCCACCATACCCTGCTGTTTGATCAAAAATAAACAACACATAAGGTAATCTAAATTGTTTTATTAATAATGGTGCAGGGTGTGTTGTGGCCTGTCTGTAATCATAGCTTGGCTGAGGCAAGAGGATTGCAAGTGAGGCCAGCCTCAGCAACTTAGCAAGAAACCGAAAATACAAAATAAAAAGGGCTCAGATGTAGATTAGTGGAGAGTGCCCCTGGGTTCCATCTCTAGTAAAATACCAGGGGGGAAAAAAAAGATAAAACTAAGTAAACCAGTACCAAATGGCACCACTTTCACTAGTATGATCTTATCAGAGTTGCACCCTCAAAGTGGTTCAAGCAAGTAAAGATAAACAGAGAGAAGGACAGTGAACTGTTGTGACTTAGCATCACCCCCACCCCCCAAATGTGTTCAGAGACGCTGATAGTTGGGACTCCATTGGCTCTGTGCAGGTAGGTCTGTTTTTCAAATGTTGGCAAGAGAATTATTTGGATTTCAAAACTTGTTTTATTTACTAATCAAAATAATTATCATAGCATTTTTTCCCTATTTAACCATTTGTAGAGGCTAGAATTCTCTTGTCTTTGTCGGGAAAAGACCACCGTGTTCCATACACTCATTCTGTTTGGTATTGTTTCCAGGATACTTGTATTTTTTGAGCTGAACTTGTGAAATGAGAAAGAATTAATCTTTGAAACAGCCCTTAAGTATAACTATTTTAAAGGAAATCAGAAGAAACAAGGAATCCTAGGAAAAAAAGTTTTCTGACTGGAATGACATAATTTTTCCTATTATTTTCAAAATCGAGAAACATTGGGCACTTCATTGTATGAAGTTAATTTTGCAGTATTTGAAAGGATATAAAAACAGTAAAAATGAAATATTACTCTTTTTGGAAAACTGATTTGGGTTTATAACTAATAAACATGGCATATGATTTAAGTATGTTCAGTCAGTTCCTTTCATTGAATTCGCTCTTTATTCTCAGAAATGAATTCTTTGAAATTCAGTGTGCACTGAGATGAGCATCCCTCTCCTAGTATATCCTTTCCTTCCTGATATCTTGTCATGAGAGATTTCCAATCTAGGACCATGCAGGCATAGTGCATTCACATTTGGTGAAGAGCTTACAAAGGATATCATGTGGTCAAAATAAGAATGGGTCCTCATTCTCTGACATAGGCTTCCTTCCAAGACTTCTTCAATCCAGCTACCCTCCTTCCAAAACAGAATATCATTTCCAAAATTTTCCTTTGTTTCTAAGGAATGTAGACAAGAGTACCTTCCCTTGTATTTTCTGTTAAGCAGGGAAACTGAAAGCCTTTAGCATTTATGAATGAAACCTAAGCTGTTTTAAGGAGCAGGGACATTTTTAAATACTTTAGTCTGGATTTGAAGTGAGTCTGGACTGGGATTTATTTCAATATCGCACCATATTTCTATACCAGTTGAACACAGCAAGGAGGCATGTTCCTTATTTTAAAAAATTCTAGTTAGAGTTTCATTAAGAAAGAAACAGCTGAGCGCAGCAGCACATGCCTGTAATCCTAGAGGCTTAGGAGTCTGAGCAGGAGGATCATGAGTTCAAAGCCAGCTTCCGCAATGATGAGACACTAAGCAACTCAGTGAGATCCTGTCTCTAAGGCTGGGGATGCAGCTCAGTGGTAGAGTTCCCCTAGGTTCAATCCCCAGTACCAACAAAACAAAACAAAACCCGGCCATTTCCTACCTTGTCAATCTGCTCAGCAGAAGTTTTTCTTTATCTTGTGTTTCCATGTTTGTTAGTTTCTTGAGGCAGGCATTTGCTTAAGCATAGTCCCAGCTGAAAAGGAACAAAGGCAAGAGAAGCATAAGAAGACCTAAGGGAAGGGTTCCTAGAATGGTGGGAACTAAAATGTAAATAAGGAATGCCATTGCAAGCAGCACTTCATTGTTAGTCCCTGTGTGCATCTGTGAGTGACAGCCAACTCTTCTGTAAGGAACTTCTCCTCTCATCTGTGTCCCTTCTGTCCCTTAGTTCACATAGCAATTTGTAGGTGCCCACTCTATAGTGCGAAGGGGAATGACTAGGGCCGGATGACTAGGGCTGCTTTTCACCTGTGTGTTCCCTCCTTTTGAAGGATGGGAACAAACCTCTGCTGGAAAATGAAGAGATGGGACAGGATACCTTGGTAGAATGAGAGAACCCTGGCTGCTCAGTAGGAGGGGATGTGTCCTGGGCTGTTCATTCATCAGAGAGCAATACAAAGGTTTCAGCTATAAGTGAAAAATAAAACTCTTAAGGTCTCCTAAGGATTTGGGGCCTTAGAGTTGAGGAAAGCCAGAGGCCTTTGCTCACTTGTATGTACTTGGAGCTCCTCTCCTTTTTCCTGTGTTCTTTTTAATACATAAAATTGAGATAAAATACATATAACTATCTTAGGTTTTTTGTTGTTGTTGTTGTTGCTGCTGGGGATTGAACCCAGGGGTGCTCCACCACTGAGCTACATCCCCAGACAGAAAGAAATTGAGAATGAGCTGGAAAGTGAACACTCAGAAATACAAATAAAATCTTTAGCCCATCTGGCTATTTGGGAGAGCTGGCAGCCTTTTAGTAAGAGCTAAGTAGTCATTATTTTCAGCTTTGTATCCTGGACTGTCTCTGTACAGTGACTCAGCTCTGCCATTAGAGAAAGAAGGCCGTCAGAGACAATACAAACCTGTATGGGCTAACAACATTGTACTTACAAAAGGGGATGACTGTGAGAGATGACTCGGAGGCTGTAGAGTTTGAGCACCCAACTCTACATGAACGTGCAAACCCAGTAAGCAAACAAGTATCCACCGGCAGAGACCAGATCCTGGAGGGATGGGGTCATCAGGGGCCCAGCACTGGGCAATGTAGTGGGCATGGAAACGGAGTGGGTCGCCAGGATAGACGAGGAAGTCACCCCCGAACTTGCCAGCAGCACTTAGGAAGAAGCCTCTCTCCCACAAGTCTTTGTAGATCCTGTAGCGCAACTCATGAGCAGGACGGCCAGCATGGGGCCAGTCTTTGGACTGGACGCGCCAGTCCAGAGGCTTAGCCTTAATGGGTCGAGGCCTGGCAGTGGCCAGCTGGACCAGCAGGGCAGATCTGGGCAGGGGGTCTACCCCATCAGAAAGCCCTGGCTGGAGAGAGGAGGAAACTGCTTCCTCCTGCTCCCCCGAAGCCTGGCTATCTCCAGTTTCGTTTCCTTCAGCAACCTGGCTCCCGGGGGCCTGCTGGCTCTCGCAGGACCCCGAATTCTGTTCCAGCTTCTGCTTCTTGGCAGCCTGCCCCTCTGAAATCTTCTCCAGCAGCTCCTGACGCCGGGTCTCACGGGCCTCGGCTGCCAAGGTACTTTGCTCCTGGAAGTTCTGCTCTTGCTGGCGTTTGAAGGATACCAGAGCGAGGCCGTGGTGGGCTGGGTCGGGGCGCGGGACGCTGACCAGGGTCACGGCGCCGATCTCCGCCAGGAGCCGCGCCTCTGCGGGCGTGAGTTCTGGCGCGGCCCGCGCGGCAGGGCGCCCAAGGTGCGGCCCCCTACTCCCAGGCGCTCCCGTAGCGCCTGCACCGCCTCGGCGCCCCACACCAGGGAGCGGCCGTTCTCCATCTCCACCACCAGCATCCTCCCGCTCCCGAACGCAAGACGTTCCGCATTCGGTAGTTCTCGGCCGGACCGACTCCACAGCCCCGCGCCATCGCGGCGCAGGCGGGGCCGCGTTCGGGCCTCCTCATAACCTGAGTTTTTGAAAACAAATTTGTTTAAAATGAAAGACCATAGAACCTGGCACATGGTAAGCCCTGCACATTTTAAACAAAAAATGTCCATACATATTTTGGAAAGTGATGCAAAATGAATTTCTTATTGTTGGGTGTAGCCAGAAGTGTGACACCCACTAGCCTAATTCTGATGCTCATGAAAATAACAGATACTATTCTCAGAATGAGATGTTAAGTAAAAAATCCGTGTTAAATTGATGACAACACGTCCCTTTATTAGCACACCTACATGGACCTGCGTGGTGATTAGGACCTTTGCTTGCGGGAACCAGCTTGAGCAAAATGAGACCTTTACAATAAGGTTCTGGGTACTTCATGACATCCAAGAGTCACAACATCCCAACAGCACTATGGGTACAGCAGGGAATGTGGGGGTCCCTCTTACTATCCCCTACCTCAGCCTCTCCCTGTGTGATTGCTTCCTTCTCTTGCCCATGACCTAATTCTCCTGCAAAGGGCTTTTATCATAAGGTTCTGAGATTTGCATCTTTCCTTCCAAAAGAACAGTCGGACTGTGGAACTTTATTAGTTTAAATTCCAGATTGCTATGAAGTGGCTTACTGATTCACGTCAATTGCCCTGCCCTGATCTAATTTTTAAAAATATTATCAGCTTCTTTCTTAAGTAATGCTAGTGTGTGTGTGTGTGTGTGTGTGTGTGTGTGTGTGTGTGTTGGGAGGCAGGTTGTTGAGGAGAAGACAAAAGGGTGTGTGTATCAAGTGGGAGCAATTTCAGGGAAGAGAACTGATCAGACAGTAATTGTGCCAGAACAGTCTGAATAGACATGTATCTCTTTAAAAATACATTGATCTACTGGACATAGTGATGCATGCCTATTATCCCTGCTAGTCAGGAAGCTGAGGCAGGAGGATGGTAAGTTCAAGGCCAGCCTCAGAACTTAGCAAGACCCTGTTTCAAAATTAAAAATTAAAAAGTGGACTGGGAGAGCAGCTCAGTGGCAGAGCACTCCTGCATTAAATCCCTAGTACCATAAAAAAGAAAAAGAAAAAAAAAAAAAAACTGATCCAAGCCATCAACTGCACTTCTGGGCAAATGCACAAAAGCATTGAGAGCATCCCAAAGAAGCATTTGCTCATCCAGTTATAGCAGCAGCATTCGCTCTTGTGGAAAGCAGTCCAAGTACCCATCAGTGGGAGAACAGATAAACAAAATGTGATTTATGCACACAGTAGGTATTATTCAGTTTTAAAAAGAAAGGGAATCCTGACACATGCTATAATATGGATGAACCTTGAGGACATTATACTCAATGAAAAAGCCAGTCCCAAAGAACAAATATGGATATTACACTTACGGGAGGTCCTTAGAATAGTTTAATTCATAGAGGCAGAAAGTAGAATATAGTGGCCAAGGACCTGGGGAGGAGGAAATGTGGGTAGTAATGGGGACATTGTGTCAGTTTTGCAAGATGAAAAGAACTTGTGGAAGGACGGTGGTGATGGTTGCACAATGTTGACGAACTCAGTGCCACTAAACTCTGCATTTCAAGGTGGTTAAAATGGTAAATTTTATCACAAGTTTTAAAAAGAAAACAAACATAGGGCAAAGAGGGGAGGGGTCTCCAAGTACATGCAATGAACCAAAGCCTGCACTTTCCCAAGCAGATAATACCCAAGTTCACAGAAGCAGGTCCTTCCTCTTTACTTCATTTAGGGCTTTGTGTGAGTGCCTTATAAACTCTTCAGATTCTCTCTGGTGAAGTGACCACAGCCCAGGATGAGTCTCCTGCTCCACTGAGAAGCCAGGCTTCCTATGCCATCCAGGCCCCTTGGTAGTTCTTTCCCTCTTCATTTCTTGTTTTTTCCTGAACTCAGTCCAGTACTGATCCCAGGGGCCAGTGACCTGGTCCTGGTATGTGGTCACTGGAGCCACAGCTAGCCTCTGAAGAAGTAGCTATCTCCCCACCCTGTAAGGGGCCTAAAGGATCCTCTCCTGGTATGAAACCTGAATTTCCTGGTCTGCAGTCATTTCCCAGAGCAGTCATAGGCCAGACACAGAACACAACTAAACCAAAACCAAAAAGCAGAGATCTTTTAAAGAATCCCCTCAGATAAGTCTGAGGTTAAGCTTCAGACCCATTATTACACCTTTTGCAATCACTGCACAAATCCCCAAACATCCAGGAATCTTCCAGAATTCAGGGATCTGCAAGCCCACAGCTTGTTTCAAGAGTGAGTGTACAAAACAAAGTTTAAAAAACTCTGGGTTACATATATCATAGGTGATGATCTGCTTATTATCAGGACAGTTTGCATCATTAAATTCAGGTTAGCTGAAAAGGGATGTGGAAATGTTGGATAAGGTGAGTAGAAATGAAAATAATTTTTAAAGAGTTAGAAACTTGGATTTGGTGGATGGCAAAGACAGCTTTGGGAAATGATCTTAGACTGACCAAAGTTGTGAGTGACCAGAAACTTCTCTGTACATTCCTGGATCGCTTCTTCCTCCATCCTCATGATCTCACTGCCAGCAGCCTCACAGACACCCCCAGCCTCACAAACAGACTCCCGTTCATTCAGCCTCTCTTAGGAGACTTCCCAGGAAAGCCCAGGCTCACCCACTTGTTACCACATGGACTGTTGGACAGTCACCCTTTCATGCATTCCCTCAACTGAGCAGTCCAAATGCCCGCCAGTGTGTGTGTGTGTGTGTGTGTGTGTGTGTTGCACACCACACTGCACACCAGCTCTTCGACCCTGTTCCCTCTGATTTCCCTGCCTGCTGCTCCTACTTCTCCCAGTTTCCATCCAACTTCTCCACATCGATCTCCTTCAGCATTTATTTATTGAGTGACTTGATGTGCCAGGCACTGTCAGGACCCCTGGGAGAAGCAGAACGGAACAAGCATGCACTGTGTGCACAAGGATCCAGGTCTGCTGGAGAAGGGGTTAGGGACTAGAGCAATCTGTAATATCCTATGCATGTGGAGAGACTGGTCATAAAAAGGAGGCAAAGCACAAGAAAAAGTGGGGCCAAGGGAGAAGGAGGAAGGGGGACACTAGGAAAAGAAGATTGCTAACCCCTGGAGAGGTGAGTAAAGACAGGCATTGAAGGAAAGGGGTTTCAGAATAATCCTGGAATGTTAGAAAGATTTTGCAAGATGGGCCATGAAGGAGAAGCTGGTTCATCAGAGAGAATGTGAAGAAAGAGGGATCCTTGTGGCATGGCAAGAGTGTGACATGTCAGAATGCAGAGGATTAAACAGTGGAACTGTGGCTGGAGAGGTAAACAGGGACAGGTAATAAAACTCTTTTCATGTCATGACAAATAATTTGGAATTTATTCAATGTTAAATGGTGCTTTCAGTGGCGAGTAGCAGAAAAAGTCAATTCTGCAGGCTTAACCAATACAGAAATGTATTTTCTCACATAACTGGAAGCCCAGAGGACATAATATGCTCAGGGGTCATCAAAGACCCCATTTATTTTTTTTTCTGTTCCCTCTTCCATCTTCATAATTATCTTTCTTCTCATGAGTACAAAATGACTGCAGTGGTCCCAAGCACTGCATCTCACCAAACAACCTCCAGAAGAAGAAAAAAAATTATTTAACCTCTTTGTATCTCCATTTAAAGACTAAGAATCCTTTCTTTAAAATCAAAGAATCCTTTCCTAGAATATTCCACACTCCAGGTAACAGGGGTGGGAGGGTGCAAGGGTGATGGTCAGAGTCTCATTGGGGGATTCCTGCAGAGGAAGGGGTTAGCACCTGGAAACTTAAAGTCTAAAATAATTAGTGAAGCACAAAACACAAATAGTCAGAATTGTATTTTAAAAAAGGCGGAGCTCTGGATATATTTAGTCCACGTGGGTGCTGAAACTAAACAAAGGAAAGATGGCTCTGGTGGTTTATTTTAGCAGGTACATCAAAGACAGAAATAAGGTTTCAAGGTTGGAATCTTGCTTCCTGATGTCCTGCAGTCAGCAAGTTGACTGATATCTTGGCAGGTCACACCCATCTCAGGTGCTGTGTGAGCCACGGCAGAGTGAGATAGAAATTTACAATGTCTCGGGCAATTGCTCAGAAAAAAATGCCCACTGGTTATTTCCAGACACCAGATGTTTCTATCACTAGGCTTCGATGCCCAGTGACCCACACACAACCCATGGACAGCTCATGACATCCAGGAGCCTTCCTCCCCTCCTCAAGTTCATATGACTCTACCTGTCAATGATCAGCAAGGGGACTGACTGGTTTAATCCAGACCCATTCCAGGGACTGGAGCTGGGTCCAGAGGCACATGACTGACAGAGCACTGGATGAAACCTCAGCTGTTTTGGTAAAGAAGCGGGTGATAGCCACTATTACTGTGAACCACTGGAGGGTTTTAGGAAGTGGTGTAATATCATCAAATATGAATTCTAGGAAGATCAAGCTGACAACAGTTTGTAGGATGAAAAGTGAGAAGATTGAAACTTGAGGCAGGAGAACCAGTGGGAGGGTTTGCAATGACACTGCAAAGACAGCAAATGCAGTCAGGGCGAGGGACACGGGGGTGGGCTGTAGTTAAGATGGAGAAGTGATGGAAGTTTGATATGATACCAGGAGGAAGCGGGGAGGCCAAGATGACCCTGGTCGCCAAGGGGTCTCCCACTTTCCTCTGCCAAATTCACCAGCAAAGGCACTCTGGGGGTGTCCCAGAAGCAGAGTTTTCCATACCCTTGCCGTCCCTTTGAGAGTGACAGCCCTTGTCCCCAAATGTGTGCTCTCAACTCATCTAGATAAGCAGCCAGTCTTGACCCAGTCCCTGACTCCTTCTTTCCTCCTCTCACCTTTCTCACAGGTTCTACGACATTGCTGTCTCCCCAACAGTCTCCTAACCCCCTGGCAGCTCTTTTCTTTTCTTTCTTTCTTTCTTTTTCTTCTTCCT